AGTAAAAAAAAAAAAAAATCACATGGTTTGTAAAACCAAGACAGAAAAACACAAATCAAAGCCCTCACACAGCTCATTCTGGGCAAGAGCTAAACACCCGTCCGTCGGAACTCAGCCGCTGCTGCGAGAAGCCGCGGACGGGCGGCCTGTGCAGCGCTGCCCGGCGACTGCTCGGGGCCTGAGGCCGAGGCAGGGCAGCCGGACACCAGCTCGGGGGAGGCCGGACTCGCTGCGGGTGGACAGGCGCGGTGCAGGGTGAGCCTCGGCGACGGGCGTCACCTCGGGCCGGGCCCCCGAGCCGTGACGGGCCATCAGGAGGTGGGATGTTTGCTGTGCTTCCCGTAACTGATTCCCTCTAACGGCCGGTCGGCCTGAGCACCCGGGGCACAGCCGGGGCCTGCAGCCCGCAGCCAGCGCACGCAGGGGTCAGTGACGATTGCTTAGCAAGTCACCATGCGACTGGAGTTCATAGTGCCGCTTAAAGGGCTAGGGGTTAAACATTTTTTCAGAGAGAGACTACTTAAAAAAAAAAGAGCAAGGAAACTTTGCTGAGAAGGCAGAAGGGAATCATGTCCCATTTCGAGTGGGGTGGGAGGCTGTGTGGCCGGGGACTGGCCATGAGGCTGGAGTCCGCTCGGGGGGCCCAGGACCACAGGCACTTCCGCTGCTGGGGTCCGAGGGTGATCAGGAATCAGAATCTCTTCAGCTTCTAGAAAGTTCCTAGAGCTCGTGTCTGAAAGTGCTGTGCACATAACAACATAAGAGGAAAAATACCAACATGTCACAGAAAGACACGCGTGTTAGAAAACGCTGACCTGAATTTGCCCAGAGACTGGCACGTTGAATGCGGACGGATGTGTCCTTTGAAACTCTCTTGTTCTCGGGAGCTTTAGTCAGGTCTCTACATGAAATCCAGGGTGATATCTTAGGGTTCGAAGCCTGAGCTTTAAAACATGGGGTTGTCTTTGCGACATTGAGCTGATTTGCATGTGAAGTAGAGACGGGCTCGCAGCATCCATGTTCCGCCGGGGAGACTGTGGCGGGCAGGGCCCTCACGTCCTTCTAGCCTCTTAGCGGGCGACTCCAGACAACAACGTGAAGGAGACGTTACCCAGACGCCTCTCAGGGGACCGTGGCACAGATGTGACCTACGAGGACAAGCTTGTGTTTCGAACCCGGCACAGGAACATCCGGGTATTTGGCCCGGGGGGAAGTGAGCGCCTCTGCCTAACTGAAACCTGCACGCCAGCGAAGCTTCCCTCTCTCAGCGACAGCCCCTTTAAAATGCAGCCACAATGAATAAAGATGTTTCTAAAATGCACTGGATACTTTGTTTCATTAAGTAACATCTCTCTTCTTGCTGCCCGGGCCTCGGATGAGTCAGGCACATGCGCGGTGGCTTCCGACGCCCTGCGCCGACCCCCGCGGGCCCAGAGCGGTGCGCGCGGGGTTGTCCTGGTCACACCGCAGCGTCTGGAACCCTCCGGTCTGAATTTTCAGATCATTGGAATCAGGGTAACAATTTTATAAGGAGGTTTCACCTCCTGCCTGGTGCTGGAAGAGTAACTGGATCTTTGAATTCAAGATGACACCTCAGGGTCCTTTTTCTAGACCTATTTTGTAAGGAGATGGGGCAGCCCATCATCAGCCGAGAGGGCACAGGCGCCCAGGAGACCTTCGTCCCCCCTCCCGGGGACAGGGCTCTGTGCCCCGCGGGCCCTCCCGCCTGCTCGACGGGGCGCTGCTGCCCTCTGCTGGCCGCAGGCGCCCTGCTCGGAGGCCACACACATTGCCCCCCAATTCCACACGGCACAGCTTTACTAGAATCTTATACTATAGTCTCTGAAAATTGGTATAAAATCCTTAGGATAATGAAGTTTAAAAATCTGACTGCAATATTGCTACATTTCACTTTTTTCTTATTGCCTTTAATACTCATATGATAGTAGATCGGCTCAATGTGTTTTGCTCTGTGACTATCTGTATTGTGTGTGTGTGTGTTTGTTTTGGTTACAGCACATGGGTGAGTTTATGAACATATATATGTATATATATGATTTAAGAAATAAGATATCTCTATAACTCTTTAGGGTACCTATTTTAGGACAATTTTAAGGGTATGGTAACTAATAAAGAAGATATTTTACTTTAAAAGGTGAGGTATAATCTACTCACCAGAAATTATTTCTGAAACCCTAAGATTAAGCAACCCATTTCTCTAGCTTTCTAAATTCTGGGGCTATTGGGGCTTGTTTTCCCCTGATGATTAGGACAACTGAGGGTCAGTGTGGCATTCGGGCGAGTCAGCGATCACAGAGAATCACTGCTGCCCTGAGGCTCCTTACTGGCCCACTGGCACCCACCCCACCCCGGGCTCTACGCTCAGTGAGGGTGTGCAGGTGAAATGCTTTGTCCCCAAAGGGTGCACGGCCTGGCTGGGGATATAAACAAAGGTAACAGAGCAAACTGGTCACTTGAACAAGCAGAGTAACAGCTGCTGAGTGAATGCACCTGGTGGGCCAGGCGCTGAGCTCAGCATCCTGCTCATTACTACATTTACCCCCTCGCTCTGCACCATCCCCACGCTACAGCGGAGAAAAGTCTAGAGCAATTTGCTGGTTCTGCCCAGGTTACAAAGCCGGGAGGTGACAGAGCAGGGTGCTGACCCAAAGGCTCTGACCTTGGCCACCAACCCAGGGACTCCCAGCCCTGGCTGCACATGAACAGAATCAATGAGGCCACTTCCAAAGTGCCAGTGACCAGGCCCCTCCCCAGACCCTGAGTCAGAACACCTGACTGGCTGGGGCATCGGGGTTTTTCTAAAAGCTCCTGGACCCGCCGGCCACACTGAGCAGGAAGGATGGCCCCCGGCTCTGCCTGTGAGACTGGCAGTGGGACCCTGAGAGGCAGCCACACTGTGAAGTGACTTCCCCAGTTTGCCAGGTTAACGTGTGAGCCTG